GAAAGATGGCGATGCCAGTCGAGATGACAACGGTCATGTTCAGCGCTTGGGGACCGATCCGTGTCGAGAAAAGGAGTCCTTCCTCACTTTTCCTGTCCGTTTCGCCTGCACTTAATCAGATATGACTATGCTACTGCATGGCACCAACATATCGTGTTCGTGTTTACGGTCCCTCGCGGTAGCTGGCAACTGTTACCAGCCATGATGCGAATGTCGCCGCTTGAATGGTAAACGTTTTACGCTATCGATACGACACTTTAATGTGATGACATGACATAATGAACTGATATAATGCACCGATATAAATAAAAGGAATAGGTAGTAAGCCAGTCCCGACAGTTCTGCGTCCTGCAGCGACTCCCTTCCAGTTCACCTACCGAGGCGGGGCGCATTCGGGTCGCTTTAGGCGCTTGCTATTTGCCTCGTGACTGGAGTGACTTGCGGCCGGCGCGGTGGCAGAGACTGCGCCCAAGGTCAGGTGACGTCAGAGGTCATGGCGGATCGTGCCGACGGTTGCGGCACATCGAGCTTTCGCTGCAAAATCCGGCCGTTGACTCGGAACTTTACGATTGGTTAGACGGTCAGGGCTCACGCAACAAACACTTCTTGGCACGGCCCCTGCTTCCAGAAATCCAGTTCATTAGCAATATAGAGTTGCATCCTTCGGTATCTTCTATCTTCTGTTCCGGTCAAACATATGCATATCAATAAAGTTAAGAGAACCGTGCCCCCTCACATGGAGTGGGTGGGGAGGCTGTCGCCATCATGTGCCCTTTGTCAACACTGTGCCCCCCCCCCCCTCTTTCTAAGAGTCTGGCTGCGCCCCTGCGTAGGGCTGTCGGTCGTGACCCAGGGCGGCGGCTGGCCGGTGTCGTGCCAGAGTACACGGCCACCGCCATCAATATCTCCGGCATCGCTGTCCACGGCGTATCATACCGTCCTAATGGCACGCAATAACTTAGAACGGCGATCACGTTATGCCGGTAATAGCTCTGTAACAACTTCGGTGGCTGGCAAGAGCCACAAGTCACGCGAGCTGCGTCGCCACGACAAGCCGGCACCGTCCGTGATGGTGATCTTTGTACTGCTGATGGGAATAGATCCGGCCCTCGCAACTACCTCACATGTGCCGGAGTTGAGTGCTTAACCAAACTAGTGACCCTCTTCACTAATTGGTGGTCTTGGGTTGAAGAAGCCGCCGGAAATTTTCAATGGAATGATGACCGAGTGGTTGTGTGTTCAGTTGTGAAACTGTTGGAAGAAGGTCAGTTCTAATCCCTATTACAGTGGTCATATATATCTGTACATATTATCTATGCAAGCGCTTTGTTTGGCTCATGGACACTGCACGCGGTGGGAAGTCATACGGATTGCGTTTTAATCACCATGGCCACTAGTCGAGCCATCGCTGAGTCATCGATGAGCAGTCGATCGTTACAGCTCCTGAAATGTTTGATTTATCCTTTATTGTTTATTGAGAACAAAGGGCATATGCCTGGCTTACGACCACCTAGAATGCGTGAATCAACATGCCAAACGATTGGAATCATCGTTTCGTAAGGCTCAGCCTGTCACGAAACTTCCATCACATGTGCGGCCAGCAGCCCGCACCGTGCGTCCGGCTGTCCGGCTGGCGTGCATACACCGCGGACGCGCAGGTATGGTGCGTATCGCCACAGTGGTGGGCGCTGCGGCCGGCGCGTGGCGGTCGGCTGCCGCTGAACCCGGCTCCCGTCCGCTCCGGCACGCCCGGGGGCGTTCGACAGAGGCGTGGGCGCCCGCGGCCGGGCCGGATCTCGATCCCTGTTTACACCGGTCGACAGACGTCTCGGGTCTGCCGACTCAGCAACAAACGGCCCCTCCTTAACTTTTCTGTTTACGGCGGCGGACAGTGAATTGGCAAGGCGCGTCGCGTCGCGCCCGATCGCCCGTCAGGCGCCGCTCGGCGTCGGTCGGCGCGGCGGCCGGCGCCCGCGCCCGGCGGCCCATATAAATTACGCGAATTGCGCCCCGCAGGAAAACAACAGATACGGCCGTGAGCGGCTGAACTTGCGCGGCGGTCTTTTGTTGTCCGTTCGACACGCCATTGTGCCGGCGAGTGGGCGATTCATCGCGCGTCGAGCCGCTCGTTTTTGGCGAACGGCACCGAGAGCCTGCCTGGTGCGGAGCTGGCGGCGCCCGGCGGCCGGCGCCTCTGGGGCCGGCTGCAGGCCGCTTCTCTCGCCTCCCCCTCCCCCACCCCCCAAGGCGAAAGGCGGGCCAACACCCGCCTTTCACCTTGGCGTCGGCCCGCTAAGAAAGGGGTTGGTGGCGTACTTGGGTCACCTCATACACATTGTTCATGGGGGTTTTGCCGCCTTTCTCATTCAGTATGATTACAGACGTATTGTTTAAGACATTGGTTTAGTCCAGCCGCGTTAATTTCTGTTCGGAATGCGCTGACGTAGTCACTGGAGTAGGAATTTGCAATGGAGTTATGCGGTTCCCATGCTTTATGCCTGAAACAACTTCCTCTTGTTTAAATTCTACGTGTAACGTCCCCTGCGTCTCCTCTTTTATTACACCGTGATGCGCAAAGTAGGCTAATTTCTAATTTCAGTCAAATGAAGATTTGTTGGACTGCTGAAATGAGGTGCTTTACTGACGACCCGCCTGTCGAATAGCTCGTGCGCTTCTAATTCAATTTTCGGCTGGCTTTTTCACTGAACCGAGGGCTAACAGCTGGAGCCGCCTTTGGGCGGCGTCTCCCAAGCGGATTTGTTTTTAATCGGACTGATTTGGTGTCCGCCTTGAAAGGCTTCTGCGCTTCTGACGCTTCGGCTGCGCTGGCAGGCTCCGCTCAGTGGAATTATTTGTTGAGAGGCATCCGAGCCCTTTACCAAAAACAACTTCCAGGGCTCCCACTTTCGTTCATAGGCTTATTATTTGGGTGTATAGCCAAGCACAACATGGTCATATGCTTGTAAGCCTAAGGGGATGTTTGCTGAGGAGGTGTTTTTGCTTTGTGTTTATCCCTGTGAAGTCGTAACGAACATCGGCACTGGGCTTTGATTTTCAATCATGTCCTTCGAGTGAATGCTACAAGTGAATTTCAAGAGCTGTGACCCGGGAGACAGGCTTCAGTTTGTGCCAACAATCCGCCATGACCGCGGTTTCAAAGCTACTGGGTAGCGAGTTCGCCGTCAAATCGTTGATATTGTCGCCTCTTGGGTCTTGAGGTTAAACGGTCAATGATTGCTACCTCCTGATCATTGGAATAATATGGGATTAGGGTACGGCAAAACAAGTTTGGCACTCACTTTTAAGAATTACGTCTTCATTACGCCCATGGCATGTTGGGGTCATTGTATTACCTACAGGGTATGTTAGCTGTGCGGTAAAGTTAGTCACCTTTTACAAATAGTGGTTAACTCTCAGGTGACTCGTAAATGTTGTTACATCGCAGTGATGTCACTATTGCCCCATCCCAAATACACGCACACATGCCGTACACACACAACAATGGAGATTCTGACAGGAGGCAGAGGTGTCGATAACATTCCCAATTTTAGGACTTACCAAAATTTCCTGGGTGATTTTGAAATTGGACGGACAGAGACAAATATATTTTATTTTTTGACAGCTGATATCATTCTGCCGTGTAGCAAAGTGCTATGCATCTCAACTTATTTAATGCCGCTCGTTTTAAGAAGGGTTGGTTCTGGAACATAAAGAAGGTGTGAATAGAGCACACCAGAAAATACTCCTCCTGTAAACATGATATGTGAAAGTTCTATTATAAACGGCATCGACAAAAAAGGCATCGATGTTTATGTCTTCAGGAGAACTTGTGATACTCATGACTTACCTAGTTGTGATTCGTTACCCCTCACCATCCTGCTGCGCCGCCGTCGTCAAGCTCAGTGATAGCCAGGCTTAGCGGGCGTCGATGCGAATTGTTAATTGCGGATGCTTTCGCGGAAGCCTGTGATGCACATCACTGACGCACAATCATTTTCACCTCTGCATTCGATTCGAGTGAGCGTATGCAACATTGGGAGAAGTGACTGAGATTATTGATCGTGCTTAGTAGTTGATTTACATTGGAAAGAACCTGTAATTTTGCGGACCACCTGATTTTTGGACACACTGGAAAGAAAAAATGGCCGGCGGGACGGGTCGGGTGCGGGAAGGCGAATGAAGTCCTCCTGCCGCCCCATGCTGATTTCAGGCCCGGGGGTGGTGACTGCTATTAGCAGAGGGAGGGTAGCGGGAAATATGAAGCATGAGCTTTGGTTGTTTCATATTTGCTCCTCGAGCAATGAGTTTCCATCAGCCTGCATTGCTTTTGGCTGCTGTTAAGTCCATCCGTCAACAATGACCGCCAACGCTGCTTTAGGACACTTCCTTGTAGAAGCAGATGTCTAAGCTGCTCCTTCAAGTACGGCGATGTATGCGTATTCCATTCTTGTCTCTATGCGAATAAGAGTTATACGTTTCGCGGTGGGATCATCTCAAGCTGTCCTGGTGTCATTGATGAACTTAGCATTAAACTAAGCTGACGCAGGGGCGCGTTGGTAGGAAGCGTTCTCTCCACCACTCACATAATGTAGATCAGTGCGGGCAGGTGCCTGCCAGTTTTTGGTTTGGTGGGGACGCGCACGCCTGTGCCTGGCTAGTGGCGCTGTCTCATTTCTTTGCGTTTCGGTGAAGCTAGAGCGGTCGCAGGACACGCGATTGTTTTGGGGAATGGCTAGACTCAGACCCGTCCGGTGGCAGATGGCGCTAGCTCCTCCCTCATGGTGAATATTGCGTGAACGACGGTACCACATTGTCAACTCTGCGCATGATACGGGTCGCCCATTCGACGAAGTTTGCCAGTTCTGGTGCGGCAGCGCTGCTTGTGGCCGACCTTGTTAATGTTCGCCAGTCGCAACTCACGGGCGCCGCGTAATTAGAAGTCGGCTGCGCGCGAAATCGATTAACAGCCTCGACCTGACCGGGCGTGTCCTTTGTTGCAGAACTCGGCATCAACCCTGACCACATCATGCAAAAGGTAAGTTCCGAAGGCGATGGCCGCACCACGCCGTCTAGCCCCGCGACGCGGCTTGCTGGGGTGGGGTGGGGGTGGGGGGAGGGGGGGGGGGGGGGTACCACGCATGCCCGGGGCCCGCAGCGGTCCGCTGGACGGAGAGTTGGTGTGTGCACTGGGCGGGTGACGTGATCGGTCTGGAGGCGCCGCCGAGCCTCGTTCCGGCCTTCCCGGCGACGTGCCATCGGCTGGGTCCAGCTGCTCTCAGGCGGGGGTTCTCCCTGCGCTTCCGGATCCGATCACGAGCTCGCTCCGGCAGCGCTCCGCCTGGCTGGCAGGCCCGGCTCACAACCGGCCCAGCCCGGGTCGGGTCACGTCGGCGGCGTCTGCCACCTCGTTGAACCGAGCTCAGCTGATTTTGTCTGTCCCAGTAACATTCCACTGGTCTCTGGCTGTTGCCAGCACCCGTCTCGCGCGTTGAACGTGTGCTGGAGAGCCATCGGCGCGGAGCCACGTCCCAGGCCGCCGTGCGCCCTCGCTGTGGTCCCCTATTCCATACTTTAACGTGGTTAGGGTCGCGGATGGCAGCAAAGCTGCGCACTCCTGGACTTATGAGAACTCTCCCTGTGAGGACTCCCTATGAGAACGCATGTCAGACCTAATATGGGCAAGAAGTAGATACAACTGTTACTGCCTATGGATACATATAACGCACAGCGCTGGCGCCGTCGGATAGTATTTGATTACGTAGTAATTGGACAGTGATGCGGTTCAAACATCATGGCCAATCATGCCATCCAAAGGCGGTCGAGACCCGCCCAGTTACCCGAAATACAAGACCGCCAACACGTGTCGACCGCTCAAACGTGTTATTATGTATACAACGGCGACTTACAGCAATGACTGTGACTCTCAGCCAGGTGAAGCATGGGCTTCAGCGCTGACGTCACCGGTAAGGCAGGTAGCTACGTCATGTGTAGCTACCTGCTACGTCATACGTAACAGGTAGCTACGTCATCGGTCGAATGGGCGAACTTGAAGTAGTGAATGGGCTTCATTTGCCAGTGAAGGACGGCCCTGGCGGAATCGGTGACCACCGGGACAACGGTAAAAATTCACATTCATTAAGGGGATGCTACAGTAATGTCCAAAACGGTCCCCACATTGATATATTCTTTTTAGATATTGACGTCTGAAAGAAAATATTTGTGCCATCTGACGAATAGTATTCAGCTATCATTTCTGGTGATTCAACACGGGATAGAAAAGAACACGGGCCGGGTGGTCGCGGGTCAGGCTACCGTTCTCAGGACGGCTGCGTGACAGACGACCGCGAACATTTGGAATCCCAGAAACGTGCTTAGGTACCTAGACGGAGGTTTGGAAATTCATTTTCTGAAAGACGAGAAAAGGAGGATGCTAGGCGCCAAGAACCTTAGTTCCCGAGCAGTTCGTGGACGAGGGTACACAGTCCATGGATATCGAGTGAAAACCGCATCCCTGCAAAAACTCAGTACAGGGCGTCATCAGTTGTTGGGATCTGATGGAGGTGACCGAGGGTAAAATTGTCGCGGGCATAACGGTGGCAGGCAGGCTCGTCTTAGCCAAGCAAGGCGCCGCTTGCCTCCGTGTAGCCTGGAAGAAGATCCCAGCGTCCAACCCCAGGGATGTACTTTACAGTGAGTTGAAGTCGCGATGGCAACAAAGTTGAGACGAAATGGATAATGGCATCACTCGGAGGCCAAACAAGTTCAGTCATTAAAGCAAAGGTCGGCGAGTGGAAATCGTCGCGGCCTAAAACAGAACTGACAGAGTGATCATGTGCCCGCTGCGCATAGGCCACGCTTGCGAGGAGCACGAGGAGCACCTTCACCCTGGGAGCGCTGAGCCGCTCCGCCGCTGATGTGGGGCGCCGTTGCCTCTGGCGCACGTACTCGTTGGGTGCCGGAACGAGGAGCTTGGGCGGGACCGATATCTCAGCTCGGATCTCATAGTTCTACTCCGTGTTATGCGATTCGCCGTCGAACGATCCCCGGTTGGTGTTGACCTTTCTGAGAGGTATCGACTTCGGAGTTAGGTTTTCAGAGTTACTTCAGAGTTTGAGAGGTTGACCTTTCTGAAAGGCATCGACTTCAGAGTTAGGTTTTCACTGACTGAAACAGCTCAGGAGGCACGTCTCACATTGTCTGGATATGTGCTTGACTTTGACTTACATGGTATTGCTGTAATATGCAGCTGAAAAGCGCTCAAAGGTGGAATGCAACTGCTGCTTAACTGTCCGTATTCGAGGCATTGGACAAAGTATGTTAAATCTGGACTTGGATGCAAATACACATTGTAGTTGAAACCTGGTCAAGTAACTGACTGGGGGCATCGCCCCTTTCACTTGGCACCGATGCTTCTGTGACGTGCATATCCGTCGGGAGTGTTATGAATGACCACAGAAACAATGATTCCTTAACAGATGTTCTTTTAAATTTTGTTTTTGAATTTGGAAGCGCCTCGTGGACATTAACGTATACATATGTATTAAGAAACGAAACATGACCATGTTTTTTTGGGGGGGGACATAACGGACACCATTCTGCATTGCAAATAGTTTCCATATTTATGGCCACCAAGCACGCTCCCATGTTTAGGGTGATCTATCACAAGCTTGGATTCACTACATCTCTTTTGGATTGATATTATGAAATGACATGTGGCTTTGATCGCGGTTGCCATCCGAACAAAAGGCATGCCCAACTGAGGTTCTGCCGAAAATTAGATTCTGCTGAACCCAGTTCTGTTCTTTGGTTTTGGTTCTGTTGTTTACATTTCAAAGACAACTCGTTTGCCTGCACTTAAATACTGTGGGGTTGAGATGGTAAATGCCAGTGTTTGAAATAAGCTTACTGCTCTAGTTAATTATGATGTTTGGAAATTCAATGTGTGGCGTAGCATGAAGGACATGTAAGCTTTAGCGGAGTTTTTGATAAAACAATTTTAGAGGCAGTGCAATGTTCGAAATTTTGGCTTTCATGTGGGACGGATTTTCAAAATTCGAATAAATAACAGCTGCATCACTGATTGCCCGCTATTTGGGCTTGGAACGGGCAGTCGTTTAAACGTTTAAACGTTTTCAGTCGTTTTGGGCAGTCGTTTAAATGTGTAAACGTTTTCCACTGCACCTTAAGTGTACCCAAGCCCCTTACTCATTGCTTTTCGCTTACCTGCCGTCAGCCGCGTGCCAATGAAGGTGCTGGTTTGCCAGTTTCCAGTACGCACTTCAACGCCCCGAGCGCTTCCGAGCGCTGGCCTAAAATTCGTCACCACTGGCGCTGCATGCGACCGACCTCCGCAACAATATGACGTGAGGCAGTCCATGCGTGTTTAATGGCCTGCGATAGCCGGTGGCAGTGTGCTGTCAATGGCGCGCCGGCTCTTGGTGGGGCTGAAACGGTTCTTTGTTCTCTAGTCGGACCGTGCAGCTCTCGCCACAGCGCACGCCTGCCCACGCAATATAAGCACGTATTCGACCACTTCCCCTGAAAACTTGCGCATCCCATAAACATCGTTACCTGCACGTTCGGACCATCACAGATGTACTGGTGTGCGTCCGAGTGGACATCCGTAACACCCTATTTTACCTTGTGTTTTCATATGGGTTGAAAATATGCGACCAAAGCCATTACCTAGATTGGGTCCTCAAGTCTGTATTTTGTGAGATCGATCCACTGGGCTTCGCTTCCGTGGCGACCCTTGTTCCGGGTCCGCCAGCGGACCTAAATAACTGGCGCCTGGTGCCGTAATGAACGCTCCGCGGTGTGCGTGGTCAGCCTGGCAGCGGCGGCAGCACTGCTGCCTCGGCTCGGCTCATTCTATCGTGCTGTGGTTCGGGGCGTCTGGAATATGTCACGCGGGGCTACTCTCCCCTGTCGCCTTTGTCCTCTATCTGGGCCCCGTCAGAGATCTAGAGCCGTGTGCGGGCTTCGGTCGTCATTAGTGAACACGCAGTGTGCTCTTCGACTTGTATTTATGTTCGTGGGCGCCAGTATCATGCGACTTTCAAAGCATATCATAAAGGTGTTGGTTGGCTCGATCCGAAAATTCTCAAACGGTTCCAAAGCCATTTTTCCCGTTCATGTCCAGTTGAATAAGGGTGGTACCAAACATATCTTATTCGAGCCATTCCAAAGTGTCCACGAAAGCCCGTTCAGTTACGGATGCATATGAGCGTAGAACATCGTGCTTTGTCGGCATTGCATGCTCCATGTCTCCAACCGTTTTTACGGGATTAAGTGTTTTTTGGTCGCAAAAAGCAGGCAGATAATGTAATAGATGCGACGCATATATAAAAGCGACATGAACAATACCCTTTGTCAGCAGTCGAAGCTGTTGATAGGGTCAAAAATAAATCTTCTGCATCTGCCCGTCATGTGCAGGCGCGTCCTTTGAGTGTCGTAATATGATCTTACATAAATAATGCTCCTGGGGCTTTTAAAACTACCACTGAAGCAGTTTGCTATTTCACTAGAGTGGACTTGTATCAAGTGGTCTTACGTTAGCCTCCAATTATTCATATAATTGACCTTTCATGAGCCTAAGTTGCCTTTCATGGCCTTTTGATTAGCTTTCCAGCGGCCGTTTTAACTAGATTCTTCAATAATTTTATTCATATTACAATATTGTGGGTAAAGCTACATGTTATCTTGGAGCGAGAGCGTCTTCAACACGACGTATAGAGTTAACCGTAGCATGAATTAGGGTTCGCTTGATCGAAAGCCCTACCAGAGACGTCAGGATCGGCATCTCTAACCACATGTTTATTACACAAATACATGTGTCAACTTAGTATATGCAGGTATACAGAAGAAGCGTTGATATACGTTAGGCGTGTTGGTTATATGTTGGTTATGTGACAATGGCGCCTATTATTTAAGAACAGACGGTGTCGTTCCATCGCTTCACTGTTTCAATGAGCATCTGTCGAACAGTCACTATTACTGCGATGGCTGCCTCCGAAAATCACGTTTATAATGTTA